AGCAGACTCACACGCTCTCACGCACTATCTCACAAACACCCTCTCCACTGCCCACACTCTCACGTGTGACCCCTGTGGAGTCAGAATTAAAGAGACCTTTATTGGGAGTGGGTGGAGGTGGCAGGATCCAAGCAGGAGGCTCTCTGGGGTCTACTCTGTGCTGGGCTTGGGGAGGTGACAGGTAAACCAGACTGGCTTCCTCGAGTCTTCTGAGTGAGGCAGCCATGGGCAAAAACAATCTCATTTCAGAGCCAAATAATTAAGCCCTATGCAGGAGATTCTGGCAAACTGTGATTGAAGTGGGGAGGCAGAGTTTGAGAGATCTGCCAGGAAGACACCACCACCTCCACCAGTGGTGGAAAGAAACAGCCACGTGCCAGGTGCTACGTATGTGCTTTTAATGAATTGGCTTATTCAGTCTGCTAATGACTGGTCAGCAATGCTATGGTCCTGTTTTGCAGATGAGGAAACAGGCGTGGTGGGGTTCAGTAACCTTCTCAAGGTCCCTCAGCTCGTATATGTGGGAGTCGGGTGTGAAGCCAATGGCAGTCTGTTCCTAGGGTCACACGGAGGGGGTCATGTTTGAGCTGAACTTGGGAGCTGTGTGTGGGGTGGGGACAGGGGAGGTAGAGAAAAGACACACAAGTGGGAAAGTGGATGGTGTGTCCCAGAGAAGGGAAAGCAGCCAGCGTGAGCGGGGTCAGATCTGGGAGGGACTTGAGTGTTTGTTTAAGGAGTTTGGCTTGTGTTTTGCCCCTGTGGGCAATGGTGGAAAGTAGAGACCAGGAGAAGGAGAACGATTTGTATTTTAGGAGGATGGTTCCGACAGGATGGAAGGAAAGTGCCACAGGTTAGAGACGAAAAGCCCAGATGGGAAGCCATTACATTGATGTGGTCCACGCGAGAAGAGATGGGGACCCGATAAGTCCAGTGGCAGAGAGTTACGGCCACTGCGGTGGTCAGATGGGCAGGACTTTCTGAGTAATGGCAGGAGATGGTCTTGGAGGGGAAGGAAGGGGGAGATCAAGTTTGATAGGAGGTTTCTAGCCAGGAAGCTGGAAGGATGGTGGGGCTGGTCATCAAACTAAGAACACAGGAGAGGATCAACTGCATGGTGATGGATGGGAACTAAATTTTTGGTGGTAAGCACATTGTAGAGTAATACAGAAATGGAAATATAATGTCGTACATGTGAAATTTATACAATGTTATAAATCAATGTTACCTCTATAAAAAATTTTTTTAAGGTGTATAATAATTAAGTTAAGAAATTAGTAACCTAAAAAAGAAAAGACTTTCTTCCTAAGAAATGATTGGAAAAAGAGCTAATGGGATAGGAGGTTTGAAATGTAATGTGATTTCAAATTGTTTTCTTAAAAAAAATGTGTATCTTTAAAACTCTTCCCCAAATCAAAATGTCCAAAAATATTTGGCTTACAGTATCTTCTGGAACTGTAATAAAATAATTGCGTTAGAAAAAAATTAAAATAAAAAACAGGAATAAGAAATTAGATAGAACTTTCCTGGTGGCGCAGTGGTTAAGAATCCGCCTGCCAATGCAGGTGACACGGGTCTGAGCCCTGGTCCGGGAAGATCACACATGTCGAGGATCAACTAAGCCCGTGGGCCACAATTACTGAGCCTGCACTCTAGAGCTCGCGAACCACAACTACTGAGCCCACGTGCCACAACTACTGAAGCTCTAGCGCCGAGAGCCTCTGCTCAGCAACAAGAGAAGCCACCGCTACGAGAAGCCCGCGCACCACAAGGAAGAGTAGCCCCGCTCGCCGAAAACTAGAGAAAGCCCGTGCACAGCAACGAAGACCCAACGCAGCCAACACTAAATAAAATAAATTTATAACCCCCCCCAAGAAATTAGACAGGTACACTACGTAAAGTATATATGTTTCTCTTGTTTAACTGATTTGCATAGTCTACTAAAAAAAAAGAACACGGGAGAAGATGTCGGTGGGAGACACAGTGAGGGATAGGGCATGGATGCAATCATTTGGAAGAAGGTCCTGGAGCTGACACTGGGGCTCTAGCCACAGGAGGCTCTGCTGGTCCCAGGGCCTGTGGGACAGGTGTGTGGGACAGTGCCCTGAGGAGAATACCCACGTGGGAGGCTGGGAGAGCTGCCAGCGCTGCTTGTCAGAGAGGTCAGGCAGAGAGTATTCCACTGGGAGAGAATGGTCCACGTGTGTGTTCTGGGACTGCCCTACCTCGTCCCCTCCCTCCTAGGGACCAGCTCTTCCCCTCAGAGCCTGCTTTCTTCAACTGCCCTCTTCCCCATGGCCGCCGCCATGACTCGAGCTCCTGCTTCCAACTCTGCTTCTCTCCACAACTTTGCTGGCTCAGGGGGAACCAGCAACCTGTAGGGAAACTTTTCTCTTAAAAGCACATGACTAAGACTGAGCCAGCGCTGGGAACCACTGTGCTGAGGGAGCATGATGGTAGCAAGAAATGAGATCCATGGTCTTGACATTGACCAAGATCTCTACTCTTCCCAGCACTGGGCAAAACCCCTGGGGAACAAAGATGAATGAGACCCAGTCCTTGCCCTCAAGGGCTTCAGAGACCAGCACATTAACGGTCTCAGGGTATAGAGGTTGCAGTTGGGTCATCAATGGAGGATCCGGAGAAAAAGGACTGATTGATTTCTTCTGGGAGCATTGTGAACACTGCCTCCAGGAAGGAACTATTTGCACTGGGCCAGGGGGTGAGCAGGTTTTCTAGGCAGACGGGAGCAGAGGATAGCATGGGGTACAGGGTAGGGAGGGCATTCTCAACAAAGGAAAACTACATGAAGCAAGTCATGAACAGGTGGAAGTACCAGCCAGGAAGAACATGTGGTTTGGTATAGAATATAAGGGAGCAGAGGGGCGGGTGTGGCAGGAGAAGAACCTGGACAGGAAGGCTGAGACTAAACTATGAAGGACCCAGTGACTTAGGCGAGTTTTGAGTATCCTTGTGCTGCATTGCGCAATAGAATTTCCTGTGATGGTGTTTGTATCTGTCCTGTCCAGTATGGTAGCTGCTAGTCACATGTGGTTTACTCAGCACTTGAAATGTCGTGTGGATAAGGAATTGAATTTTTACTTTGTCTAATTTATGTTTCAACTTAAATAGCCACATGTGGCTAGTGGCTACTGCATGGGACACGGGAAGTCATTTGTTCCTCACGATAACTCAATGAGTCGGGCAGAGATCACCTGTCCAGTTTTCAGGCAAGCTGGGGTTCTAGAAGGTTATGTCACCTGCCCAAAGTTACATGAATATTAAATGACAGAACCAGGGTTTGCATACAGATTTCCTCTATAGGAAGCTATTTATGGTTACTGCCCTGGGCAACATGAGGCTCTGATACACCTTCCGAGTCATTAAGAATAAAAGTTTGCAGCTGTAGTCTTTGAAAACTGGTCCCTGTTGGTTAGGTAGGGGCGCTCTGTTTGTTATCACACCTAAGTTCCTGCCACAGTGGAACAACACAAATCTACAATCAGAGGGAAGGATGGGGCAGTGGGGTGAGGCTGTTGTAGGGGTAATGGGAGGACCACTGGGTTCTTCTCTTGATTCTGCTGAATGGCAAAATCCAGGTGTGGCAAAATCCAGTTACCTATGACTTGTGGGACGGAGCATCTTTATTGATGGAATGAAGAGGCTCGCCAAGATGACCCCATGGTCCTTTCCACCCCACTTTTGGGAACTAAGACTCAGTAGAAGCCATGCTCTGGAATTCTTACAGCTCAGACATCTGCTGATGGGGCCGATCCCATATGAAGGTGAGCGTGCAGCTTCAGCCTCTTGTCCAGAGGCCCTGGGTGTGAGATAGATTCAAGGTTCCAATATAGCAAACACAGCTTCAATACAATTCAGCTTCATCCTCACCAGGGATGAGGGACAAAGTCCAGGAATTCAAGTAGAGCTGTCACTCGTGTTAGATTAAGGACCTGGGCAAGAGGGAAGTCTGGCTTCTGACAGCACAAGGGTGAGGAGGCCTCACTAATGAACAATGTAAAAGTTCTGGAAAATTGAAGCTACGAGAAAAAAATATAGATAGTATTGTTTCTTAAGCACTTAATTTTTTTTTTCTTTTTATTCCTGAACTCAAAATAAGAAGCATCTACTAACTCGAATGTTTTTAAGATGATCACATTTGGTATTTTTGAGAAGAGAATTGTGCCTGAAAACAACAAAAGGATTTGCAGGAAAAAAACACTGGCTTTTGACATTGGTATCCTCCTTTTTAATGAAAATTAGTATTTCTGTTCTTTCATTCCCTGTAGGCCTTGGCACTGTTGCAGATGCTCACAGCCATGGAGGGGCATGGGTGGGGAGTCCAGCACCCACCTGGATTTGCTCAGCATGAGGTCTTATCTGTGTCAAACGCTGGATTCCTTTCCTGGGCTTTGAGTCCCTGAAGAACTGGAAATTCTGTGTCCCATTTCATGTCACCTGGCTGCATTTTTTCCCCTGCCACATCTCCTGCCTTGTACAGAGAAGCCACAGGTCATCAGTCATAACTGAGCTACTTCTAGATCCAAAGCTTGGAGAAATGGGAAATTTAAAGATCTTCAAGGCAGATAGACAAAGTCCTTAAAGGAGACTGGAGAGGTAGGGCTGGGGCTTAGTGTGGCCGGCCTTCTGTGCCCAATTGTGCATTGTACATAGGGTAGTCGGAAAAAATACAGGAAATGCAGTCAAATTTGAATTTCAAATCAATAATGAATAATTTATTTAATATAAGCATGTCCCAAATATTGCATACATTGTTGATTTGAAAATTCATATTTAACTGAGCATATTGTATTTTTGTTAAATCTGGCAAAACTTAATTGCACATCCTCTTGGCCTACATTTTACATGATTACTGTGGAGGCAACTAGCTCAGAGCCCCCAGCAGTCCTCATCTAAGCTGCATCTTGTATTCTTTGCTTCTTGCTGGCACTTCTCTGCTGTTACTGTATAGGAAACTCCTGGTCATTGGTGAGGTACAAACCATGAAGGGTGAGGGAGTTAACCGCCATGGGACAACCTCTGACCAGCGGGATGGGAGCTGACGGAAAAATGTTCGTCTCTTTCCATCCCTCCGTAGCATGGAATTATGAGTGCATTCTATACGGCTCTTCAGAAGATACCAGTGAGACAGCGGTTTCCTGCACCATGAAGCTTTGACTGAAGCTCTTCCTGGGGACCATGTGGGCTTCAATGTCAAGGACGTGTCTGTCAAAGATGTTCATCGTGGCAGTGTGGCTGGTGATCCCATACGAAGCAAAAATGACCCACCGATGGAAGCAGCTGGCTTCACAGCTCAGGTGATTATCTTGAACCATCAGGGCCAAATCAGAGCTGGATATGCACCTGTGCTGGATTGTCACACAGCTTACATTGCTTGCAAGTTTGCTGAGCTGAAGGAGAAGATTGATTGTCTTTCTGGGTCAAAGCTGGAAGATGGCCCCAAATTTTTGAAATCTGGTGATGCTGCCATCGTTGATATGGTTCCTGGCAAACCCATGTGTTTTGAGAGCTTCTCTGACTATCCTCCTCTGGGCCATTTTGCTGTTAGAGACACGAGACAGATGGTTGCTGTGGGTGTCATTAAAGTGGTGGACAAGAAGGCAGCTGGAGCTGGCAAGGTCACCAAGTCTGCCCAGAAAGCTCAGAAGGCTGAATGAACATTATCCCCAATACCTGCCACCCCAGTCTTAATCAGTGGTGGAAGAACAGTCTCAGAACCCTTTGTCTCAACCGGCCATTTAAGTTTAATAGCAAAAGACTGGTTAAGGATAACAATGCATCATAAAACCTTCAGAAGGAAAGGAGAATGTTTTGTGGACCATTTGTTTTGTGTGTGGCAGTTTTAAGTTATTAGCTTTTAAAATCAGTACTTTATTTATTATTTTTACATCTTTATTGGAGTATAATTGCTTTACAATGATGTGTTAGTTTCTGCTTTATAACAAAGTGAATCAGTTATACATATACATATGTTCCCATATCACTTCCCTCTTGCATCTCCCTCCCTCCCACCCTCCCTATCCCACCCCTCTAGGTGGTCACAAAGCACCGAGCTGATCTCCCTGTGCTATGCGGCTGCTTCCCACTAGCTGTCTACCTTACGTTTGGCAGTGTATATATGTCCATGCCTCTCTCTAGCTTTGTCACAGCTTACCCTTCCCGCTCCCCATATCCTTAAGTCCATTCTCTAGTAGGTCTGTGTCTTTATTCCTGTCTTACCCCTAGGTTCTTCATGCCTTTTTTTTTCTTCTTAAATTCCATATATATGTGTTAGCATACGGTATTTGTCTTCCTCTTTCTGACTTACTTCACTCTGTATGACAGACTCTAGATCTATCCACCTCATTACAAATAGCTCAATTTCGTTTCTTTTTATGGCTGAGTAATATTCCATTGTATATATGTGCCACATCTTCTTTATCCATTCATCTGATGATGGACACTTAGGTTGTTTCCATCTCCGGGCTATTGTAAATAGAGCTGCAATGAACATTTTGGTACATGACTCTTTTTGAATTATGGTTTTCTCAGGGTATATGCCCAGTAGTGGGATTGCTGGGTCATATGGTAGTTCTATTTGTACTTTTTTAAGGAACCTCCATACTGTTCTCCATAGTGGCTGTACCAATTCACATTCCCACCAGCAGTGCAAGAGTCTTCCCTTTTCTCCACACCCTCTCCAGCATTCATTGCTTTTAGATTTTTTGATGATGGCCATTCTGACTGGTGTGAGATGATATCTCATTGTAGTTTTGATTTGCATTTCTCTAATGATTAATGATGTTGAACATTCTTTCATGTGTTTGTTGGTAATCTGTATATCTTCTTTAGAGAAATGTCTATTTAGGTCTTCTGTCCATTTTTGGATTGGGTTGTTTGTTTTTTTGTTATTGAGATGCATGAGCAGCTTGTAAATTTTGGAAATTAATCCTTGGTCAGTTGCTTCATTTGCAAGTATTTTCTCCCATTCTGAGGGTTGTCTTTTGGTCTTGTTTATGGTTTCCTTTGCTGTGCAAAAGCTTTTAAGTTTCATTAGGTCCCATTTGTTTATTTTTGTTTTTATTTCCATTTCTCTACGAGGTGGGTCAAAAAGGATCTTGCTGTGATTTATGTCATAGAGTGTTCTGCCTATGTTTTCCTCTAAGACTTTGATAGTTTCTGGCCTTACATTTAGGTTTTTAATCCATTTTGAGCTTATTTTTGTGTATGGTGTTAGGGAATGATCTAATCTCATACTTTTACATGTACCTGTCCAGTTTCCCCAGCACCACTTATTGAAGAGGCTGTCCTTTCTCCACTGTACATTCCTGCCTCCTTTACCAAAGATAAGGTGACCATATGTGCGTGGGTTTATCTCTGGGCTTTCTATACTGTTCCATTGATCTATATTTCTGTTTTTGTGCCAGTACCATACTCTCTTGATTACTGTAGCTTTGTAGTATAGTCTGAAGTCAGGGAGCCTGATTCCTCCAGCTCCATTTTTCGTTCTCAAGATTGCTTTGGCTATTCGGGGTCTTTTGTGTTTCCATACAAATTGTGAAATTTTTTGTTCTAGTTCTGTGAAAAATGCCAGTGGTAGTTTGATAGGGATTGCATTGAATCTATAGATTGCTTTGGGTAGTAGAGTCATTTTCACAATGTTGATTCTTCCAATCCAAGAACATGGTATATCTCTCCATCTGTTTGTATCATCTTTAATTTCTTTCATCAGTGTCTTATAATTTTCTGCATACAGGTCTTTTGTCTCCTTAGGTAGGTTTATTCCTAGATATTTTATTCTTTTTGTTGCAATGGTAAATGGGAGTGTTTTCTTGATTTCACTTTCAGATTTTTCATCATTAGTATATAGGAATGCCAGAGATTTCTGTGCATTAATTTTGTATCCTACTACTTTACCAAATTCATTGATTAGCTCTAGTAGTTTTCTGGTAACATCTTTAGGAATCTCTATGTATAGTATCATGTCATCTGCAAAGAGTGACAGCTTTACTTCTTCTTTTCTGATTCAGATTCCTTTTATTTCCTTTTCTTCTCTGATTGCTGTGGCTAAAACTTCCAAAACTATGTTGAATAAGAGAGGTGAGAGTGGACAACCTTGTCTTGCTCCTGATCTTAGTGGAAATGCTTTCAGTATTTCACCACTGGGGATGATGTTGGCTGTGGGTTTGTCATATATGGCCTTTATTATGTTGAGGAAAGTTTCCTCTATGCCTACTTTCTGCAGTTTTTATCATAAATGGGTGTTGAATTTTGTCAAAAGCGTTCTCTGCATCTATTGAGATGATCATATGATTTTTCTCCTTCAATTTGTTAATATGGTTTATCACTTTGATCTATTTGCATATATTAAAGAATCCTTGCATTCCTGGAATAAACCCCACTTGATCATGGTGTATGATCCTTTTAATGTGCTGTTGGATTCTGTTTGCTAGTATTTTGTTGAGGATTTTTGCATCTGTGTTCATCAGTGATATTGGCCTGTAGTTTTCTTTTTCTGTGACATCCTGGTCTGGTTTTGGTATCAAGGTGATAGTGGCCTCGTAGAATGAGTTTGGGATTGTTCCTCCCTCTAGTACTTTTTAATGGAAACAACTTGACCAAAAATCTGTCACAGAATTTGAGACCCATTTAAAAAGTTTAATGAGAAAAAAACCCCCAAAACCAAAAAACTCAGTTTCCTGCCATGGTGACCAGCTCAATAATTTACTCTTGTGTTAACCTGCCTGCCTTCTTCCCTCCCTCCCTCCCTCCCTCCCTCCCCTCCTTCTTTTCTTCCTCCTATTGCCTCACTCCTGTTTCCTGGGATCACTTCAAAAACTAAGCCTCCTGCACTCAAGCCCTTGGCTCAGGTTCCCCTCTCAGAGGGGAAGCTCAGGTTAAAAGAGGTTTACTGGGGCTTCTTCTGGAAGGAGAAACTAGATCTCAGACCTGTATAGAATTTTAGCAAATTTGGACTGGAAGAATCCTGAGAGATCATATAGCATACCCACTCATTTTAGAGGTGTGGAAACAGGCCAGGGACTTACCCAAGATCATCCCCCAACCCTCCCAGCCCAGGGATAATCTGGAATTTCTGTTCTTCATGAGGTGAACTAATCTATATAAACACACAGTGCTTAACACACAGCAGGTGCATGGTAAATGTGAAAATGGAATGACATGGGGAGGGGAGTGGATAAAGGTCTGCTGTGAGAGTGGACAGAATGTTTCCATATGTCTCGGTGGCAAGCCTCTGTCTCTAGGATCCTGACTCTTGCCACTTGTTGCTGCTCCTCTGGGCTCTTTGCACAGATGATGTCAAGGGAACTCTGTATGATTAAAGGCATCCCAAGAAAGGTAGCCTTAAGGAAAAGGGACTCAGTGATAAATCTTAGTGGAAACGCTTGTTCCTCCATTTCTGCATCAGGGGCAGAGAGTTTGGACAAAGGCAACCAGTGTTCCCTAGCGATTGCTTAGAGCCTTTATGGATCAACCCAACTAATATAATTTAGTTCAATTCCACAAATTTTTGTGCCAGGAACTGCCTAGGTCTGAAGAGTCACTAATAGACTGCTCTGTGGTCCAGGAGACTCATAGTCCTGTGGCTCATAAAAGCAGCCCTCCTGAGAAGGGAGTTCTGGGCCAAATTTATTAAACCAAACTGTTGAGATGGATACCCCCTAACCTGTAAGAAAGCACCTGCACCAGGGAGAATAGAAGAAATAAATGACATAGGAGGAGGAAGAAAGTCCATACGTATTACATGCTTTCTCCATGACAGGGGTTAGGTCTTCAGAGCAACCTCTCCTCTGTTCTGTTCACGATGTTATTGAAGTCGTGCTAACTGGACTTGTTGGCAGGAAGCAGCCTTACTAAGACACATGCTTACCAAAAAGTGGGAGTTAAGCTCCACAAAGATTCAAAGACCGATTTGTTAAAAGATCAAGTCCATTTTAAGGGGTACAGTGGTTTGGAGCATACCCAAACACCCCCTCTAGGGTGAATGATGAGTTGTTGTATCTTGGGTCCTCAAACATTCTACCTCTACTGCCAGCTTGCTCTGGGCTCCTCATGCTGATGGTCTGGCGGACAAAGAAAAAAAATAATTACTGTACTGGTGGGGGTAATTGACCTTGATAGAGATGAGGAACTATGGTGGCTTCTATACAGCAAAGGGCAGGGAGGAATATACCTGGAATTCATGGGATTCACCAGGTATCACTTCATGCTTTCTTGCTCAGTGATATAAGTGGATGAGCAATTCTGACATCCGTGGCCTAACAAGGGAAAGACAACTATAGATGCAGACTCTTCTCTGAAGGACCTGTGATGCCCCATCAGGAAAGCAATGCAGACCAATCAAAGTGCTGACTGAGGGAGGGAATCTAGAAAGGATGGTGGAGGAAGGGGGTGATGAACATTAATTATGGCTTCAGGAGAGCTATAGCAGTAGGGAGTGTAGCTGGTTTCACTAACTCTCTTTTATTAATTATTTGGGGAGTTGTAGCTGGCCACCATCCTGAAGGAGACTGTGATAAAATAGATTTAAGGGAGGGAGGGCATGAGCAGATCTGAGTGGTAAAAGGGGTGGATTGTATCAGTCACTTCTTGAGCATCACTTTACATCCTCTTGGGCTCACTTCTTCTAGGCACTGCTGCAGTGACCTCTCCCACAGAG